GTAGACTCCAGGCTGGTAAGGCCAGAAAGAATGAACTTCTTATTCTACAGCTTCTACAGAGCTTGTATTTATATTCTCCAGGCTTGTATCTAGAATTTACTACAACTTTCTCTTTCTCTTGAGCTCACTCATCAACTCTCAGCATGATGCCAGATTGCTCTTTTTAGAACTTTCCAGCAAAATCCCAACAGTGACCATTGTATCCTCCCAATGTCCTCCTGATTCCCACTAAGGTAGATGACATCTGGTGTCCACCAACATCACATGATGTGACTATTAATGTGACATGAATATCCAAACTGGGCAAATAAAACACTCAATGAGGAATAGAAACTGTTGCATAGACAATATCACAGATGTAAAACATACAAGTTATGAGAAACATGTTTAAGTAGTTCATAATTAAAGGGATTTGACAATGGCCTTGAATCCATAGAGGAGTTAATGTGTTTTTAAAAAGCAGATGCAATTATATAATATTTTTCTTCTCTAGTTCTTCAAGAATGCTATCTGGTAGCATCCAATGCTCTTGATAGCATCTGGCTGCCAAGGCAGCCTGTCTACCATTTAATCTACATGCATAGACATCCATAAATTGAAGAAAACAGTTGACAAATCTAGAGATAAGGATGTTAGCTGCTATTTCCAATCATTTAAGTTATTAAAAAGCTTACTGATGCATGCTAACAATGGAAATCTCTTCCAATGCTGCTAGTATATTTTTTTCAAGTACATCTTCCTGGGAGAATCCAGGATTAAGTCAGTACAGCTGCTTGACATAGCTCTAACACTGCTCAATTGGATTTAGCTCACAATAAAATTTTGGCAGGAAGATGACCTGTATACCCCATGCCTCACAGGAGACCTTGAGGAATGATTTTACATTTGCAAAGTTTGGCTGATTGAATAATATCCAACAGCAACAGCAATTCTCAGCAGGTGATGCATATTTGAAGCCTTTGCACTCTGCTTTTTTGGTCTTGATATATTCTATGGAAAAGCCATGCTCCTGAAGGATAGTTGCCATTCTATTAAAGACACCAGGACAAGAGTGATTCTCAGAGAAGTAAAGAGGCTGAGAGACATCATTGAATGTAGCATCCTTCATTCAAATTTTAACCTTCTCATAAGAACTATCAGATTTGCAGACAGACTTCTATGATTATCACATTGTATGATATCAACTAGCCAGTTTTTTTCAGAAAGAGAGACATTCCTTGGCATTTTACATACAGAAATCTCATCATCTGCACACTTTTTATGAGTTGTAGTATTATCATAAATAAAGACATGCTTAATGTTATCATTAAAGTCTGAAAGAATGTCTATAGCCTTATTGGCCTATGCAATAATGTTATCCATAGTGAAATATCCATCTCAGTTCTTTTCTGACTTCATGACTTGGCATGCACTTCTCTTGCTATCAGCTGATTGTAATCAACCAAAGTCTGCTAAGAAGAAATCTGCAATCATAAGAGAAGCACACACTCTCTTGTGGTATAGCTTAGCTGGTTCTGCAATATGATACTAAGATTTTCTTCTTTGATTGTGAGCATAGAAGATAGACTTGTCATAAAACCAGAGAACAATACATTTGCCATTAAGATAGATCTCATCAACTGACTTTCTATCCTTGTCAAAGATCTTTATTCAATGCTGAAGTTTCTTGATTTTAAAAATAAACATCTTGTTACAGTCTCATACCACATCTGCATGCTCATGCCCATCAACATATTGACTCTTTTTTGCTTCCTGTTAACAATAACTTAATGTGTGGAGGTATCATTGTGCTATGTGCAAGAATATTTTCTTTGTTATCTTATACTTTTCCTTTATATCAGAGCACATCAAAAATAGCATGATCTTTGCTGCTGTAATATCCTTTCCTAGCTCTTAAAGATACAAATTAATGTCTTGAGCTATGTTCTTGTTAATGAGTATAGTTTTATTCTAATTTTCATATGGATTTATTGAAAGAAGAATGTGATTGAATATATATTTACAGACTAATTTGCAAAGGATCTGAGTGCAGTACATACTATGAAGTAAGGTAACTGCAATTTAAAGTGATAAAGCTGTCCACTTTTCATAAGTTAAGGACTTTGAATCTGTATACAGAGCCAATAGAGACTGCATTCTCTCTATGTATACTCTCTGAAATAGATCTACAGTTGACTATCTCACAATGCATGATGTTGAAATGCATAATTCTGACTTTGCATATAGATTGGGCTGGAATGCAGTTAGGGAGCAGAAAAATAGGCCAGAAATGCATATCACATAATGCATATAGTTTTAGTTAGGAATATGCATTGTCAGATCCAAAATTATAATAAGCTGATATGACATTGTGCATATATTAGAACAATAAAGAACATAATTTGTTTGTATAGACTATGACAAACATAAAAAAAATTATTGCAAAGTGATACAGCCTATATCTCTATAAACATATCTCCCAAACCAACATAAAAACCACATGCTAAATCTGAAAATCTATATGAGCATATAAAACAGAAGGAGAAAGTCCCAATGTATACATCATTGGCTCAGTCTCCAAAGTAGATCTCCTGCTCACACCTTACAACAGGAGATTGGCTCACAGTATTCAAACATGTTGATAATCATTCTTCTCATTGACATGCTGATATTGTGGCATATTTTGCAAACTGAAAGAAAGGTGCACTGCTCTTTACTCAATCAACTCTTTTATAGAAATTAGTATCTTATACAAAAATTAAATAGCATGCAAATAAAAATCCTAATGCACTATCATCTAAAAAGTCTCACATTGTCATCTGACCTGATGTAAAGCATGCTGTTGCATTCTGGTATCAGAACATGCAGCTTCAAGGTGAGACTGTGATCAGTGCAATGCTGATAGAGAAGTGAAATCAGATTGAAAATATGATGAATATTCTAGAGGATCAGTGTTTGAAAGAAGAGAGATGGTTGAAGTCATTCTGCAAGGTATGGAAGATTTAGGAGGTTTAGCAGCATGGAGAAGCAGGCTCAGTGGATATAGTGGCAGTGGAAAAAGAATGTGTGTGCTTTCACAGCATTATGGTGAAATATGTGATATGAAACAGATAGAATATTGATGAATTTGGTCTTGTCATCTTTGCTATCTCAGATTGTATCTTGGCATCTGGTCCTATGAGTGGACAGAAACAGGACAAGTTCCACATCACCATGTGTTTTACTGTGAATGTGAATGGGAGTGAGTGAATGCCAGTTGTTTTCATTGGAAAGTCAAAGCAACCACAGTTTTTCAAGAAAAAGAGTCTAACAGCAATGGGATTCTATTATTGGAATAACAAGAAGGCCTGGATGATGAGTGAAATATTTACAGAGTGGGTAAAGATGTTTGATTTAAAGATAAAGAGAGAGATGTGATAGGTTCTGCTGACCTTAGACAATTTTTAAGGGTATTTTATCACTTATACATTCTATAATACAAAGCTGGAGTTCTTTGAGCCTAACATGACTCTATATGTCCAGCTGCTAGATGCTGCTATTATCTGCTGCTTCAAGACACATTATCAGAATGCTATGTGTATCTGTGCACTTGATCTTGATGATCTTAGAGAGTCTGAGATCTTCAAGCTTGATCTTCTTGAGGCTATGACTATTGCTCATGATGCTTGGGCAAATGTCAGCAATGAAATGATAGCAAACTGCTGGAAACACACTGGTATAATGTCTGACAATGCATCTGAGTCACAGTCTACCACACTATCCAATGATTTTTAAGACACCTCACTCCTCAGATCTGCATGGAATTTTGTTTATGACTTTGCCTCAACAGATAAATACATGCTTCCAGAGATCAAACAGGTATTGCAGGATCTGCTTGGAAACCAATATGCTGATGCTGACTGGCATCCTGCTCTTATGGCTGTTATGAATGCAGAGAATGATATTGGTAAAGCACTAGAGACAGTCAATCAGTTGGCTCCTTCATCACAGTCAAAAATGAATATACCTTCCATTCAAATTGCTCCTATTCAACAGCTTTAGACAGCAGAGATAATGTTGAAGGACTACCTTGTCAAATTGAAACAATGAAATCACATGTTTAGTCTCATTCCAACTATTGAAGAGATGGTTAGCCCTATTGCAGAAGATTATACTGAAGATCTTGAGACAATGCCA